TGACTTAAAAGCTATTTTAGCCCACCAGGTTCAGTAAAGTCACAAAAAAAGGACTAAGGAGGAAAAAAAGCTATAGAAAGAGCACTAATAAACGATCTTAAATCTTAAATGAGGGAAACTGAAATGAGATAAATAAATCAAGAAGGAAGGAAAATGCCAATTCAATAAGAACAAGCAAAATATAACTAACTTTATCATAGAAACTAGATTTTTTAAAGGAGGAAACCAAAGAAATACCCTGGGAAAATAAAGTTTAAAAAATAAATAAAATTCAGGAAAAACTAATATAAAATCCAGTTAGAAAATCAGCAAAGAGAAATTTTGAAAAAGTGACTTAAATGGGTCCCTAGGAATTTAAAGAGTAAATTAAACATTTTTAATTTATAAAGTGAAAGAAAACTTAGAGTTGCTACCTATGAACAACACTACCACCCTTTTACTAAAGTATGTTTTATATTTGGAAAAATTCCCAAAACATCTTCTCTTTATACATGATTAACAATAGAACACTTTCCTAATTTATGTAACAATAACCTGCATCTGTGTTCAGGGGAAGTGGCCTGCTGTGCCCTCTCCCTCTCCACCCAGGGTATGGTTTTAGTCTTGGTCCATTCATAAAAGGACTGGGTTCAGTCTTAGGGGAGCTTGACTTCCAAAGAGAGGTGTTTAGTCTCTTACCATTGTCTCCGACTTTTTTCACTCCTACCTTGAAGACTCAGGGAAAATTCTTTAAAACTTAGATTAGGGCTCATATCAAAGGTCTCCCCAAAAAGGGGAGTAGAGAAGTATTCAATGTACACTACAATTCATACATTAGAATAGCTCTTTATTTCTTCCACGTAAAATAAACACTTAACATAAAGATGCACATGTGCACATTGATAAAAGATGTAAAATAGTGTGTAGTGATTTATCACTACTGTTACACTCTCTCCGTGGTTGAGACTTAAACTTCAGAACATGTAGAAATTTTCAGGACTGCTCAATAGACAGCTCATCTTTGCATTATCCAAATAATTTCACTCCACGTCCTTAGGCAGTGGGTAGAGTCTTGGACCTGAAGTCAGGAAGCCCTGAATTCAAATTTTGTTTCAGACACTTCTTATCTCTGCGACCCTAGTCAAGTCATGAACTCTGTCTGCTTCAGCTTCTTCAGCTGTAAATTGGGAATAATAATAGCACCCACCTCACAGGATTATTATGAGAATCAAATAAGATATTTGTAAAGTGCTGGCCAAGGTCTCCCGCTGCATCTGGGGCCATCTCCAGTTATCCTGATTTATTTATTGCTACAGGACCCAGATGGCTCTGGAGGAGAAAGTGAGATTGGTGACTTTGCCCTCCTTCACTTAAATCCAATTCACTTGCAAGTCATGGCATCACCCTTCCTGATGCTATGGTCCTCTTTGAGAATTAAGAACAAACAACAACAACAACAGCACAATGATTGGCATATAGTAGGTGCTTAACAAATACATATTCCCTTTTCATTCCCCTACCCATGTCTTTTGGTAAGCCTGGCCGTGGATTGAATTCGTTCTCTTTGTTTCTGGTCGTCCTCTCTGATGAAGAAACTTCCTCTGCTTCCATTCAGCTCCAACCAAATGAGTGTCTGGACATCTCAAACTTACAAGGTTGCCTCTAAAACTGGATATATTCTCTTTTGGTTTTGCAGTTCAGTCCCCTATACTGAAAAAGAAATAAAACAGAAGCAGTATCCAGGAGTCCAAGGTCTAGGCTCAGGCATGTTTAAGTCCACATATACTTTTAGTTACTATGCCTATGCCCTTTACTTCTGCCAGGGTCAGGAAAGGGCACCAACCCTGTCTTCATCCATGTAGGGAGGTGCTTGAAGATTACTTTTGTGCTTAGAAGAACTAAAGATGGGGTGACTCCATTTGAAAGGTTCTTTGAGTCAGCCACTCTTTCTGCTCAATAAGTGAATTGTTTCATCATCTCAAAGTACCAAGTCTTTTAGTGCTGAGACCCTGGTATTCCCAGAAGTTGTCAAAAAAAAAGTTCCAGTATGTGATCTGTAGGATGGTCCTTACAGCCCCTGCCAGAAGTATGCAATCCCAGCTACCTTTATCTCACTTAGACTCACTGAGTCTCAATTTATTCCTCTATAAAGTGAAGCAGTTAGACTAGATAATCTCTAAGGTCTTTTTTAACCCCAAAATTATTACACTTAATTGTATAATTTTATGTGCCAGATACTGTGCTAAGTGCTTTACAAATATCTCATTTGATTCTCAAAACATCATGAGAGGTAGGAGATATTATTATCCCCATTTTACAGGAACTGAGGCAGACAAAAGTTTAAGTGACTTGCCAGGGACACACTGCTAGTAAGTGTTGGAGGCCAAATTTCAAATCTGGTCTTTCTGACTCCAGGCCCAGACTTCTGTGCACTAAGGAGTCACCTTGCTGCCTATAAGGCAATAGAAATACAGAAAAGTTGGGTTATTTTTCCAAGGGAGTACATATTTATCACATTATACTAGAAAATAGTACTCTGTATGTTGCAATGAACTAATTTAAAGTCCAATGTATACAATTCAATCTCCTCTGCACAACGTTAGTATATAGTATATGCTCTAGATCATTTGTCTCCAAACTCTTTTGATTGTGCACCTGTATTATTAAAACTTTTCTGAGTACACATGCCAAATATACATACACACACAGACACCCACATAAAATACATAATATATATACATAAATTATGCAGTGTACTATTTAAAAATGTATTTTGTTCATTATAAACATACACAAGAATTTTTCAAAAGATGAGATAAAACCAAAATAAATAATGTTTTCAAAGAATTTATTAAAATTAATTTCTCTTATTGGTAGCATAAACATGTTTTGTTCTCACTAAACTATAATATTAATATTTTAGAATAAGTTTATTTTACTATTAAACCAAATTAATATGTTAATAATAGTTAATATTTTAGTGAGAGTAATGTGACTATGTGCCATTATTTTTGAAAAAGCTTATTTTAATAAATATTGTAATTTAAAGTGCTTACTATAAATGATATTATTAAAAAATTTGGTTTTAATGATGATATAGCTGAAAAAGATAGAACACAATAATATTGAAACATAAATAAAAAGCAAAAAGTAATAATTAAATGCTCCTACCAAATAACAATCCTTCTTTCAATCAATTTATGGAAAGGTTTTAGTTGAAATTGGGCTAATAGATTTTCATCTTCTCTGATGTCAATCAGTTGTTTTGTAAGCTATTGGAAGGTGCTGCAAGCTAAGACAAGTGATGATGAAAAGTGAATTCTTCAGTATAAAAGGAGACTGAGACAGCTTTGGGGTCCAGCTCTTAGGAGACCCGTAAGCAAGGAGGAAAGAGCTGAAATGTGAGCAATAGGATGATAAAAGGGGGAAAAGGCTAATTTTACCACAAATGTCAGAAATAAGAAAAATCATGCCTTGAAAGTTGGTAAAGATGGCCAAAATGGAAATAATCAATATTAAAGAGGAAGGAAAGCTAGACAAAAAAAAGTGATGTTGATGGAACTATTAATCACAGAACCATTTTGGAAAGCAATTAGCAATCATATAATTAAAGTGACAATAATATCCCATATTCTATGATCCAGAGATTTAACTATCAGACTTATATACCAAGGAGGAGATTGATAAGAAAACAAGTGCCAATATTCACCAAAATATTTATAGCAACACTTTTTATAGCAGCAAAAAGTTAGAAACAAAGTAGATTATCATTGTTTATGGATTGATTAAGTATCATTGTTTATGGATTGATAAGTACCATATTATGGATTGTGGTATATGAATGTCATGTAATATTACCATGCTAAAAGAAATTTACAGAGAAACAGGGAAATATTTCCATGATCTAATGCAAGATGATGTAAGCAGAGCCAAGAAAACATTACACACAGTGACTTTAATAATATAAATGGAAAGAATAACTACAAGACATTCAAAAGTGAATGTTGTGAAATTAAAGAGAGCAAGTATGGCTCCAAATAAGAGATATGAGAAGACATAACAATCCTACTCCTTTACACAGTTGAGAGGTTCATGTGTGTAGTACATTGCATATATTTTTAGGCTTTTTTGATATTTTGATCATTTTTGTTGGTTTTTTAGTCTCTTACTCTATTTTTTTTCTTTAAAAATATTTTTGTAGGATAGTTTCTGGAAGGAGATTAGGGGAGGGATACTGATGTAAAAGTTATTATAGGAAACATCATTTTCAATAATAAAAGATTAGTTTTGTAAAAGTTTTGCTAAAAATGATGGCTTCAAAAATTATTATCTAATATCTCTGGCAAAATTTATTCTTAGGGCAAGGTTTATCACTAGCAATATCATAAATAAATCCATATTTCAAATAATTGTTATAATTTAAAACTCTTTATCACCTTGTCAGAACTGATTAGAATATCATTTTTTTTATCCTGTAATGTGGTTAACAAAGATCTCATACTAGGAGAATTGTCAACAACCAATTTGTTTTTGTTTACTTGTAGTCACAATATTATTGCAATTATTTTTTTTCTCTGAATGTTCAATAGAACTCACTTATAAATCCACATGTTCTTTTTTTTTTTTCCTCTTTGGTAGTTCACTGATGTCTCATTCAACTTCCTGTCTTCTGAGACTGGGTTATTTAGTTTATTTTTCTGTAAATCTAGGTAATTTGTATATATTTTTCTAGATATTTAAGAGCTTTACTTTCGATTGTAATTTAATTCAAGTCAAATGCAATAACCACACATATTGGAATTAATAATGAAAGATAAAGAGAGAAAAAAATTTCAAGCTACTGCATTGTACAAGACACCTGTGGTCTAGCGGAGTACACTGTATTCACTAAGTATTTCATAACTGATTTTATATAATAAAAATGTGATGTGATGTTATAGTTTTGATGTGTTATAGTTCACAGAAATATGCTAGTAATAATGCATATGCTTATTCATGAGCTTTGTGTTTTGTGTCTAAAGGGAAAAATATCCAGAAAAAGAAATAGTCCGTCCCTATCCAGATATCGTTACCTGTGCAGATATGGCATTGAGAACTATTGTTGAAAAGCAGGTAATGTTCACTTTCTTAAACCAGTAATGGGTTTATATATTATGTATGTATGCATGTATGTATGTATGTATGTATGTATGTATATACTATAAAGGTGCCTTGAATGAGAAAGTATAGTTTTAAGACATGAAAGTTTATATGAAGAAAATATTGGGGATTACAAAATCTGACCATGGAGATGCCTTACTAAATTTAATTGTTTTTCTATACTGCTGATACATTTTAATATCTTTCCTAAATTATGGAAAAGTTTGCCTTTTTGTATTTGTAAAATACTAACATACCCTATTTCTTGAATTAGCACGATTTATGAGAAGAATCTAATTTTTTTTAACTCTTTTGATTTCCTCTGAACTAAATACCAATCCTTAACAGTTAACAAGCTGCCTGGTGACCGTCTTTTGTCCCTGGAAGATGTAATGGGCTAGGGAAGCAAAAGGCTTAACTGTTAGATCAGTGCATTTGTCTATTGTGCTATATATATATATATGAGTTTCCCCAAAACTTATTTCTGGAGGGGAGGGGGGTTTGGAGCAGGAGAAGAGGGAGGAAAATGTTCATTAGCTTTTTTTTAAGCACTTACAGGCACAATGGTAACTATAATGGGTAAGTTCTTACTACAGTACTTGGAAATTGAGGTTTCCAACAGAATAGTATCAGCTGTGGAGTCACAACCTTATGACCCTGGTTAATATTTTCCTTTATTTTATTTAACTGTATTCATCTTCCTAAAGAAAGTAAGAAATTATTGCATTTACTGATAAAAACCAAAGTGATGCTTATCCACATCATTTAGATTTAGCTATACTTTAATCTATAGAGCTACTGCCCTAGCAGCCTACTATAATAATGGGCATTAGATATAGAGTCCCAAGTGATCAATTTGAAAAAATTGTCATGAGACCTATAAGGATAGCACCCTCAATTAGTCAGGAAACATTTATTAAACATCTACTGTGTTCTGGGCATTTTAATAAACCCTGGTGATACAAAAAAAAAAGCAAAAACAAAACAAAACAAAACATAAAACAGTCCCAAGTGTCAGGCAGCTCACAGTCTGATAAGGAAGACAACTTGCAAAGCAACTTTATACAAACAAGATGTATATGGGAAAAGGTTGAGGTAGTCTTAGGGGCAAGGTACCAAAATTAAGGAGGCTCTTCATAGAAGGTGAGACTTTGGCTGAGACTTAAAGGAATATAAGGAAGCCAGAAGATTGAGATGAGAAGAGAGAGTTTCAGATTTGTGGGAAAGCCAGTGAAAGTGCTTAGAATCAGACAATGGAGTGTCTTGTTCAAAGAAGAGCAAGGAAGCCAGTGCCACTGAATGGCTGAATACACGGAGGGAAGTAAGATATAAGAAGATTGGGTAAATAGAGAGCAGCTAGGATATAAAAATCTATAAGAAACCAAACAATTGGTTTTATATTTGATCCTGGAAGCAATAGGGAGTCACTGGAATTTATTGAATAGGAGATTGGAATGGTCATATTTGTGTTTTAAACAGCAGAGGATGCACTGGAGTGAGGAGAGACGAGGTAGGGAGATTAACCAGCACACTTACAATAATCCAGGCTTGGGATGATGAGGGTCTGTACCAAGGTGATGCAATGTGAGAGGAAAGAAGAGAGTGTTTATAAGATTACTAAGGGTGAAAATCAGGATGTGACATCAGATTATGTATAAAGGGAGAGAATAAGCAGTGCAGGATAACACTTAGGTTGTGAGGCTGGGTACCTGGGAGGACTGTGGTACTCTCAACAGTAATAGGGAGTAAGGAAGAGGGTAGTGTTTGGGGGGGGAAAGATAATGTCCAATAACATTGGACATGTTGAGTTTAAGATATCTTTAAAACACAGGACATCCAGTTTGAGATGTCTAATAGGTAGTTAGAGATGCAAGAATGTAGATCCGGGGAGACGTTAGGGCTAAACAAAGCAGACCTGAAAGTCATCTGCAGAGAGATGAAAATTGAAATCACAATAGCTGATGGATCACTAAGGAAAATAATATAAAACAAGGAGAGAAGAGGGTTGAAGAAAGAACCTTAGGTGACCCCACAATTAGTAGGCGTGACCTAGGTGAAGAACCAGTAAAGGAGATAGTGAAAGAGTAGTCAATGAGTCATCTAGCTCAATCATGACACATCTGCTATGTGCCAGGCACTGTGCCAAGCACTGGGAACACAAAGAAAAATAAAGGCAGTCCCTGCCCTCAAGAGCTTAATGGTTTAATGAGGGAGACAACCTGCCAACAACTCTGTACAAATGAGTTCTATACGGGATAAATTGGAAATAATCGATAGAGACATGGAACTAGAATTAAGAGAGATAGGAAAAGGAAAGATTTCAGCTGGGCCTGGAAGGAAGCCAGGGAAGCCAGGAGGGCAGACATGAGGAGAGTGAGCATTCCAGGCATGGAGGGGAGAGGGTGAAAATGCCCAGAATATGGAGAGAGGTTGTCTTGTTCAAGGAACATCAAGAATGCTAATGTCACTGGATTAAAGACCCATGGCAGAGTATATAGTGTAAGAAGACTAGAAAGGTAGAAAGGTGTCAGATTATGAAGGGATTTGAATGTCATGCAGAGGATTTTATATTTCATTTTGGAGATCATAAGGAGCCACTGGAATTCATTGAATGGGGATGTGGGTAACATGGTCAGACCTATCTAATTTCAGGAAAATGAATTAATTTGATAACTGAGTGAAGTATGGACTGGAGTGGGAGAGATTTATGGTAGGAATATCAACTAACAGGCTACTACAATAGTATAGGCATGAGGTTGTGAAGGCCTGCACTAAGGTGGTAGTAGTGTCAGAGGAGAGAAGGTGGTGTATGCAAGAGATGTTATGAAGGTAAACTCCACAGGCCATGTCAGCAGATTGGATATGGGGTGGGGGGAGGTGAAGAGAGTGAAATGTCAAGGATGACACCTATGTTGAGAGCCTAGGTGACTGAGGAGATGGTGGTACTTTCCATAGTAATAGGAAAGTTGGGACAAGGAGAGGTTTGGGTGAGAAAGACAATGAGTTCAATTTTGGACACATTGAGTTTAAAATGTCTACTAGACATCCAGTTTTAAGATATCTGAAAGGCAGTTGGAGATATGAAACTCTAGATCAGCAGAAAGATTAGGACTGGATAAGTAGATTTGAGAATTATCAGCATAGAGATAATTGTTGAATCCTTTGGTGTTGCTGAGATCCCCAAGTGAAATAGTATAGAGGGAGAAAAGAAGTGGGCCCAGGACAGAGCCCTGTGGGACACTCAGCAGGTATGACCTGAATGATGATTCAGCAAATGAGACTGAAAAGGATCGGTCTAGAGATAGTGACAAAAGAAATCTGTGTGATATAGGAAGAGGAGGAGGGGAAAACAGGGAGCTGTTAGTAAATGACCTTAATTTTTTTTAGTAAAATACAAGACAAATGTTCTCAGCTGAAAGGGTGTTTAAGGGAATCTGTGGAAGTTTTGAAGGGGATGAAAAGGTTTGGAAAGGGTTCTGTAGTGAATGGGATAGTAAATTAGTTAGGAAGGTATAAAAGCAGTGCTTTGTGGAGCCAATCAGCATGTTGTTTTTAAAATTTTCTCCAGCTTTGTTTAACTTGATCACTATTTCCCCAATATTTACAATTGTCCAATAATGGAATTAGCTACCGTTTGAAATTGAGCAGAGGCTGGATGACCTTGTAACTAAAAAGAGATTCATGTATTGAACATGAGTGGTTAGACCCCTTCACTATGATTCCAATTAAAGTTCTTGAAAGACATTTTAGCTTCCATGAAATATAATATATAACACCCACTTCAGTTGACCTCTATGCTTTTGCAATGTCATAAACTTGTCAAAGATAAAAATGGCTAACCTCATTTTGCTGAAAATCAGTTACTGAGATAGCTTTAGTATGCAGAGGGTATAAGAGGCAGGGGAGAGCCAGTTGAAATCAGAGCCAATATCTTTGGGCCAATTAGAAACCAATGGCTTCCAATAACCACATATTTTCTCTTTCTTCTTGGGCACATACATCATCCACATATAATAGCAAGTGTTGTGGATCTATTTATTTTATAAATAATAAAGGCAGGATTTTTTTTGCCTTTAAAGTTTCCCACCCCAGGACCTATATCATTATTTTCATTTTTGGTCTCTTTGTATGACTAACAGTAATTTGAGGGGATTTATAGCAATTTATTCTGAAGAACATTTTATAAAATTTATTTACAATAACCTATATGCTGTTTACTTGTTCCAAAAGGTCCGGGATCTCTAATTAGGAAAGTAAGAGCTACTGATGGACCTTGATGCTTAACCAGGTAGCTCACCAAGCCAGTTTCTATCACTATTCATGTTCTTTGTGGTTTCCTAGGCATTTTTGTCAGGGAGAGAAATTCTTTGTTGGCAGTGTCCCTTTCCCCAAGCCAGGACTTTATGCACTTTCCCATATTTCTCTCCTCAACTTTCTATATAATAGAATCCTGAAATTGGAAGGGACCTCAAAGATCATCTTGTCCAACCCATAACTGAATAGAAATCCCCTTAACAACATTCCTGATAAGTATTTACAGCTTTCACTTGACCTCCAATGATAAGGAGCTCCCTAACTCCTCAGGCAGTTTTAGTCGTGTTTAATTGTTAGAAAATACTTCTGTCTAGTGTGTCTGAAATCTTACTCTCTGCAATTTCTATTATGGATCATAGCTCTATTCTTCCAGCAAAAAAAAAAAGAAGTCTAAATTGTCTTCCACTAGACATCCATTCAGATACTTGAAGGTATCTATGTTTCTTTATTTTTCTTTTTCTAGGCCAAGCATCTTTGCCTTCTTCCAGCAATCCCTGTATGGCACAGTTTTCAGTCCCATAATCATCTTGATTGACATACACCAACTTATGAATTTTTCCCTTAAATGTGACACCTCTGAACACAAAATTCTGGGGTAGAATATATCCTTCACTAGCATATCTATCATAAGTATCATTTCCCCATTCTGGACAAAATGG